TGAGCTAAAGTAAAAATGACCAAAAGTGCGCTCTGCATAGCACTCATAATTTTTGTGTGCCGAACGGACAACAAATAATCCAAAGGGACACGGGTCCCAGTACGGCTTAAAACAACAAAAAGTTGTCCTTTTGTAGATTTTCCTGACAAATTAATGCTGTGAGTTTATTGAACCGGAAGTCTTAAGGGAAAGCCAATCCAGCAATGCATTTCAACAGCTCGCAAATGTACTTTAAGATAAGTTGGCAATATGTGTTGCCCTGAACAAAAACACTATCAATTTAAGTAAATATAACTTAACTTTTAAATATTAGCTTTTAATTAAAATTTAAAAAGTAGAATGCATCAAATCTTAGCTATATTTGCAGATGTTCATAACATTGCCTGTTTTTTTATTAATGATTTACACATTCAACATTTATTTATTTCATAATTTTGTTTAATTAATGTTTTTCTCGTATAAAAACTACGCATATCTAATTTCCATTTCATATCGCCAGGCGCTCACGTGATGCATACCAACCTATTACCTTATATTCATTGACTTTGACAAAGCTTACCTAAAACACCTGATATCCACCTCATAAGATATGATATGACGAGTGGTTCTGATGTTGATAGTTTAATGTATTTGTGCTTTTTAAAGCACCATGACCATTTCAACCTTTGCTTTCAACAGTGTCAACAGAGCGCACAATGGTCAAATATATCAATATTAATCAATTGAATATGAATTCGAAATAGTAATTGAAATAATAATAAGTTAACAATATTCCCTCAACTAATGACTATAGATATTTACTGGATTTTACCGGTGAACAATAGAATACTGTACATGTCAGTATCTGAATAGCATGTGATACTTTAACAAACGCATTCATATATAAATGCTATGCTAATGGTATACACTAGTGGGGGAAATATTTAGCTGAATGCATATTAATTATTGGCCATTTGGCCTATTAAATGTTGCAGTCATTAAACACATTCTAAGTTCCATTTGCTTGATCGTACATTTGGCACCACGGCCAGGCATATAGCTATTTATCATTTATAATGTGGCCAGTGCAATTCATTAAACTGGCGCAATTATAGTCGCGGGCCATAAAAAAAATATATATACACATAACATTTTCAACAAATTTCGAAAGCAATAAAAAGCGGCAGAAAACAGCAAATACAACGGTAAAACAAACATACAACAATTTACAACACTCACACATACACAGACACACACACATGCATATATGTGGAGGTATGTGTAACGTCACATGTGCTAATTAAAATATACACACCACAAAACACAACAAGGGGCGCGCACAGGGCAGGGTGTGCGCAACGCCCACAATGCGTCAAATGTAGCGTATACGTAATATACAATTAAACACACATTGTGGAAGGAACATGGACAAGTCAAACACACATACACACACACACGCACACATACACAAAGATAGAGCGCAGTGGCCCTTTTCGTGTTATCCTTTCATTGGCTTTTAATGTTCGAGGGGAACTATGAGGTGTTGGGCGGGACTTGAACGCGCTCGTGCGTTCGCCTAATTGAATGTAAGCAAACCAATATAAAACAGCGCTAAAAGACAACATTAAACAACGGGACCAACACGTCTCATTCGCAAATTACCGCAGCGCAGCATTGCCTATACAGAGCCTGGAATTCTCCTCCAACTCCAATAGCCAGCTACTCGTCCCCGCCTGCCCGCAGAAATCACTTTGCAAGACGTTGCCGCTGCGAAATTGCGCAATAAAATTGCATTGTCTTTATTTTTAGTTTCAGTTCCATGCCTTAGCATATAATGGTAATGTTTGGCTTTGGACACACACACACACGCACACCTAATGAGTGCTGTCTGGTAAAAGTTAAATTAAAATTTCATGGCTTCTCGCAGTCTCATCTTAGCCTTCACAGACTGCAGTGCTAATCAAATCAGCAGCCATCCGGATCTGAGGAAGCTGCGTCTTGTCCAACTTCGTAAATCTTTACGTGCACTTTGCCGTATTTTCCAGCTTACGGTGCCACACCCAAATTGATTGTAAAGATATTTCAAAGTATTTGACTGTCTTTTGCTTAGGCTTGTGGCCAATAAAATTTAATTTATAAATATTTAAGGTAATTTAAATGCAATTTTATAATATCTATAGTTAAAGAATAAAAAGTAGAAAAAATATATGAAAATAAGCAGTTTTTGTAAAATCTTTGCACCCGTTAAGAGACATTTTTAAATCGTTTTCAAAAATATAAAGATACCTTAATTTGCTTGCAAATATATTTCATATGGGAAATTTATAAGAGATCATCTATTTGTATACTCAAATTCATTTTTTTCCAATCGATTTCAAAAGAGAAAATTTTTTAATGTTAAATTATATTTGTGCTCAGCTTTGATCTTTAATATAAAATTATTTTACCGATCGGCCAAACAGAAAGAAAAACCACTTTAAAACCATCTTAAAAACTTTAAAGAACTATTGAAGAAGATTCATGTCTAAGTGTTGTCAAGTGTTAAAAAGTTACTTTTCATGGTCCTAATATAAGTATATAAATTGTTTAAAAATGGTTTATTACCTTATCACAAGTCAAATTAGGTGAACATATATTTGTAAAGCTAAAAAAAAATAGGTTGTTTAGAAATACTTTTAAAAAACCAACAAATTAAAAATTCTAGCCATTAATGGCCGTAAAAAGCTAGTCAGTGCTTATGAAAACTTTTTTAATGGACTTTTAACACAGCGACCAACAAGACTTTCGTTAATTACCAAAAAAAAAAAAGCTTTACAACCACAAATTATATTCAAAAGTTTTCACTATTCAAATGCTGATACGCACTTCAATAAAGAGCAATTTACGAATGAGTTGACATCAAAGAATTGGTTAAATGCCAAAACAATTTAATTATAATTGAAATTCAAACTCACTCAGTTTCCAATTAGCGGCATATACAAATTTAAGATTTCACTCGTGCAATTCGCGACATGTGTTTATTATGCACTTAAATAGCCAATTAAAATTTAATGCATTTTCAAAATTAATTTTTATTAATTCAGATATGGTTTTAAAATCGGATACTAAAACGAGCAGCGAAAACAGTTTCTACCGCTTATGTTGACAATATGCAAATGACACAACAAGTCGGCAGCGACTGATTTCAAACTTCAAAACGGATTCGCTGCGACGAGTGCAACGTCACGAAGCGAACAGAAACGAGTGCCGAACGAGTATGAGAACTGGCTCAGGACACGGACACGGACACTGAGCGCCTGGACCTCAACCTGAGCCTCCCGCTGCGTCTGCTACGAGCTGCGTTCGTTGCGAAACTGTTTTGGTTTCATTTTTTTTCCTCAGCTTTTAGTGGTTCGCAACTGACTTCCTGCGCACAAGTTCGAGTTGCATCCGAGGCTGGCAACTCTGTTAACATCGGGTTTGGGTCGGCTCGGTGGGGTGGTAAACACAACATGCGTGCGGTAAATATACCAACGCTAGTTGCTGCGTTTGGGGCACGGCAAAGATGACGTAAGTTTTCTGGCAACGCCACTTGTTGGTATGTTGTTGTTGTTGCAAATTGTGCTGCTGTTGTTATTTGCTGCAGTGTTGTTCAGTATTCATGTACCAAGTTTTCAAAAAAAATTTGTTTGCCAAGTACATGCGGCTCAACTTGACATTCCTTGATTTCAGCTTATAAAGTTTTTAGTCTTTTGTTTAAGTTTCTAACACTGGTCGCATACCAAGGGTACAGTTACGTCTACATTTGTAGTTCCTGTGTTTGTTTCACAACGCTCTTAAAATGCAGAAATAATTGCAGAATTGATATAAAGGAATATTTCCAGTAAATAATAAACCACTTATTAATTTTAAATTTTTTATCTCTAGAATTAATATTTCCCAAACAGTCTCTGCAAAATCACAATTGGTTCTAAAGATAAAAATATACAGCTTTTAGATTCCCCCTTCCGTTTACCATATCATCTTTAGACAAAAGTGTTCTACACGTTTTAACGTTCATACATAAGCCAATTTTATCAAACTCTTGGAAAGAATTTAACTAAACTACCTTATACCTAATATTTCTTTTACACGTAGTGCTTCCAAAGATTACCGCAAGAAAAATCGAGCCTTGTCGAACACAATACAACACTCAAACATGTGTATCCTTTAACGACAAGTTGGTACATGTTCGATGTCGGAAATGCGTTTTGTGGTAAGCCGCAACATTTGTGCCGGCTTGTATGTGCAGTGTGACCAGCTATGGGCATAATCAAACTTAGCCTGCCAAGCAATATCCGTGTAAATTGGACAAGCTTCCTCTTCTTTAACTGAATAACTAAAAGGGCAGTTGCACCCTTTGTCATTCCAATTCGATGTTAATTTAATTAGCAGCTCACTTTTGGTGCAGCTATCGTTTTTCCAATGTGGCAACGCCAGCTAATTGCGGTCATTAACATTTTGCCTGACGTAAGCTCGAAGTTCATTAGTTCGCAAGGTAAAGCAGGTAAAGGTCAGTTAGATGTGATTAGCAGCATCCTTAGCGCCGATTGGGTAACTGTTGCAAGAAGTTTCAATTTCAAGACTCCTTCGTTTTTATATAACAGAAATTATAAAATGTCAGACTAAAAGAGTTGGGTCAAGCACCTCTCTGATGGGGACGAGCATGGTATATCAGGTTACGCTGCCGGCACTCAAGTTATTAACAAAGACAACTGTGTAGTTGGAAATAGTGTTTGGTGCAAGAAAAAAGAAGCTGTACGGAAAGAAACGATATCAAAGTGAAACTTTTAACTTTGCACAGTTCTGTTAATTCAACGAATTGGAACACCCACTAATGTGAAACTCTGGAAACTTTAGATCCGAAGAGCTTAGTATTTGGGCTCTTCAATAGCTTAGATGTGCCCAAAAGTAACAAAAGTAACTCAAGATCAAAGGATGATTATTACACTGATCAATGGACACGACGGCCGGACCAACAAAAATATTATCTCTGCTTCCGATCTGTCTGACAAGTTATTTTTTATTTTTTTCAGCTTCCTGACAAACGGCAGGAAGAATCAATTACACTGGAGAGCTGCATCTTCTGGCAGGCCGGAGACCGACAACAACAGATGGGCACAGTTGAGATCATGAACTTTCTCAAATTACGCCAGACAGCTCAGCACCACTCTCTTTTTATAAGCAGAACAAGTTTTTTTCTTCCTCTATAAAATATAAAATGTTATCACGCCGAGTGGTGAGGGGGAGGATACGCGGCTGTGCAGCTGCAGCAAGGATATCATATAAATATATTTACCAACAAAGCAAACAATGTGCTAGATAAACAAAATATATTGCTTTTAATGCGGATGGCGTTGGTGCAAAACATACCCATTATTCTGAAAAAAAAAATACAAAGTGTAAAACAACATTTCCATGGAATTGTGATTTGAAATGCGTGTAGTTTTTTCTATATCTACATCACAATTGTATTTCTGTAGAAGGAAGTTGTTGCCAAATGAAACAATGGAAATTTGTGTTAACAATGTCGCAAATTGTAGAAATTAAGATTCGATTTGTATGCTAGATACCACGTAAATTTATAATACATTTTAACACCAGAAAGACCTGTACAACCCAAAACGGGGAACTTGCTATGCGAGCTTATGTTAACAAATTGTGTGCCAAATCTAAAAATCAGTATCTCTTACTCACTCAACCTATCTCGATCTAAATCTTTATTTTTCCAGCTTTAGCGGTTTATATATGTATATTTATTTAAATCAGTCTCCTTGTTTTTTTCGGTTACATACAACATTACTTTACTGCATGAATAAGGAAGAGCTAAGGCATTTCAGATCTGGAGACAAGTTTTGATTTTCAATTTATAAGACGTAAATATTTAAATTCAATTAAACTAATTTACTAAACCATGACAATATTTTTCTAAGTCTAACTCAAACTAGACCATTCTTACCCAGCCGGCTTTCTGGTGTTAAATGCCCCTTGCATAAATAGGCAAATAGGCTACCGGCAACTACGTCAGAAGCGAACCTCGCACGCGTTGCCTGGCTCATTCAGCATGCGGCGCAGGCGCGACGGCAACGATTCGCCGAATTAATGCGGAGCATGTGCCCAAATCGACGGTTTATTAAACCTGGGGCCAGAACTGGGCGTGCGAGCCACGCTGTGCACACCTGTTAGGCATGGCAATCGTACGGGGTAACGATGACGATTATGATGGCACATAGAGCGTGAACCGGCTTCCAACGAGCCACCGAGTGGTGTCGCCACAGGGTGCCAGTAGGTGCCGTTCAATGGGTGCCTACGTGCGCCGCTGGCCATCAGCAATGCCGGAAGCCTAGCAACAAGAAAGAGCGGAGCCCTTCGAAGCATGTAGCTGACGACAAGGTGTCAGGAAGTGTTTCTGTTGTTGTTGTTGTTGCTGCTGCTGATGTCGTGGGTTCAGCGGCCAGCTTTTGCACTTGAAACCCAAATTGCGCAATTCCCAAAATAACTGCGCACCCAACTCAATCGGCCGGCTCAATTTTCGGTGGGTTATTTGTTTTTATATGAATATGTATATATGTGCATTTGGGGTGGTGGCTGCGAAAGTACCGCTAAGCGCGTTGCGAAAAGTACGCAAGTTAGCCGCAATCCGCCCGTGATGTCATCTCAGATGTGTCGCATTTACGGTTACGGGTTTGGTGCCAAAAATATGCATCCGAGTGGATATTTAAACGCTCGCTTAAAATGATGAACGCTCAGCGGCCGTCGACGTCAAACGACTTTTATGAATAAGTATAATTCAATTTTTTTTCTTGTTAATGAGTGGGTGAAAGAACTTACCCTCCATATACTTATAAATAAAACAATGATTAAAACTTAACCTAGAAGGCACAAAAAATATTGTTATGACAGAAAAGTTTGTTTGCAAATATGGAACTATTTTTGAAAGCATCCGACTGCAATAATAAGATCAACTACCGTGTAAATTCCATATTTTATATATTAACTATGAGGGGTAATGGAAAACAAGCATAAGACAATATTTGCGAGAGGTATACAAAATTGCTTAAAACTATTAAGTGAATCGAATGGGTTGATAAATACGTAGAAAATTTAAATGAGTTGCAGTTAATGCAAAAGCCGCGCGCATAACACGTTGTTATGAAAATGGGACTTCTCTGCAGAAAAAGATTAAACTTTAACAAGATGAAACAACAATTGCTGCTTCTGTTGATTTATTTAGCTTGCCCAGTTAAGAGCAAACTGTACCTGAATGCAATTACGAAAAACACAAAGGTAATTGACCGTCAATGGGTTGGCTTCGGATTAAATGAGGAACTCGAATTGGGTGGCTGGCTGGTGCGCGTTAGAAGTGGCGGCGCGGAGACCCTTTCATGTTGTGGTGCCTACTACACACCTCTATTGGTGATCTCATCGGCCAATTGCATAAACCCATTTCGATATCAGCTGGACGATGCCAGTGTAGTGTCTACCGCCAATGCGGTTGATGAGGATTTCAGTTTCTCCCTGGTACATTCGGTTTACACACCACACGATTTTGTTCCACAAAAAACCAACTATGACATAGCAATAGTCAGGCTAAGCACGCCCCTAAAAGGTAAAATGACCGAATTCATCAAGCTGGCCAGCAAACAGCCCGTCGCTGGCACAAGTTTTTACACCTTTGGCTGGGGCTACGACAGCCTAGAAGTGCAGCCACCTTCAGATGAGCCACGAAAAACCATAGTGCACCATTTAGATATAGACAGGTGTAAGAAACAATTTCCAAAGGGATTCGTGTCGAACACAGTTCTTTGCGCCCAATTTCCCGAGGATAGTTTTGAGTGCATATACGATGGAGGTTCTCCGATAGTCTGGAAAAACGTGCTCGTTGGCATCGCCTCAGTAGGGGCTACTTGTAAAAATACAACGAATCCTGGCATTTATACGAGCATCATTAAGATGAAACCCTACATTCTGGAGATTCACAAAGGTGTAAGATCTAATCAATTGTCGCGCAACAAAAGACAAATTCACCCGCAGTGGTAAATTAAAAAAAGTTTTTAAAACCAATAATAAATGGATGTGCATAAATACTATAATTACTGGCAGGTTAATTTAATGCAAGCCTTTGGCTTTAAGCATGGTGAAATACGAGTAAAAATAAATAATAAAACAAGTAAGAGGCTCTAGTCGGGAGCTTTCTACTAGGGGAACAGTTATTTAGTTATTTAGTATATAATAGTAAATATATGTTAATGAATAAACTAACCTTGCAATTAAACCTTTCTGGAGAGCTTTAGTAGAGCTATTATTTGCGTTTATTTCATTAAATAAAAAATCTTCATGCACAATCACCCTTTCGATACCAAATCTTTCAACTGAGATTCAACTTAAATTTGAAACAATTCACATTACTTAATAGATTGTTATCGCACAAGGTTAGATTCTCTCTTAAAATAAACAGAAAAATATTTTAATGTAAAAATAAAAATAAAAACTGAAAAATATTCCTAATAAAAACTTTTTTTGCGTTCGAATACTGCTGCGTTCCCTAGTGGCAACTGTGCATAGCTCAACAGCCTTCCAAATTCTATTTCATAAACATACATTATAAATAAACAGAATAATTAGAATATTAGAAAGTAGAAGATAAGTTGAAACTCCTAACATATTAATCACATTTAGTCTAATCACATCTCAATCGCCTTGACACATAATATTAATCAAAAGATCTCGATGAATCGACAACATATGGTAAGAACTAAAAATAAAATATATAAAACGTAAGCTGGCAAAAAATAAAATATGAATATTGCAATTCGCAACAACACAGAGCCCATTGCTTGGTTTTTTTTCTTGGTATTCATCTGGATTTGTATATGTACATATACAGAAATTTTTGAAATTTGCGCTAGCTGCTGCTGACACGAGCCCAGCCAAAACACGTTATCCTTAATATCTTTTGTGTTCCTCAGCCGATTTTGATGAAATTTTCAACATATCAACATATCGTATATCTTATTGTACTATAGAATATTTGTATCATGTATCATGTCAAAAGGTCAAATGCATTTAAATTGGGGCTTATATAGGTGGGCAGTATGAGTTGCTTAATTTATTTAATTTATATCTATCAGGTAGTAGTGGGGAGGTGGTGAAATCTACAAAATGTAAGATACTTGATTTATATACACTATGCTACATGTCAAGTTTTGTGACTCTAGCTCTTGTAACACATACAATTTGATCACAAGACAGGATTAAGGCTTGCATTGATTACTTAGATGCGGGGTAAGATATCGGAAAAAATTTCAAGTCTTATATATTCGGATGGACGAACGGACAGATCGGCTAGGCTATTAATACTGATCAAGAATAATTATACTTTATAGGGTGTCTGTCTGCCTGTTACATATATTTGCAAGAAAACATTATTCCAATTTTACCCGCTTTTAATGGCTTCAGGGTATTAAAAAACACTGAACACTCTTATAGAATAGTTTTACTAAATAATCCATTGCCTACATTGTTTACATAGCAAAATTGTAAATTAAAATAAAGTGTTGGAGAATTTCTTGAAATTTAAATTTAATAAATGTACTAAACGAATCGAATTAGCAAGAAAAGCGAGGATAATTAGAACAACTCATACATGATTGACGGTTTCTGTAGCATGTCGAGGTAATTGGATTTCTCTGCAGTTCAGGACTGAAAGTTATTGAAATGAAACAAGTGCTGCTAATATTGTTTATCTGGATTCCCTTTGTCAGAAGTAAAATATACGATAAATTTATTACCAAAAAAACGATTATAAAAAATCGAATATGGGGTGGAATGGCTTCAAATACAGGAGAAAATTTTGGCGGATGGCTGGTGCGCGTTAGAAGTGGTGGCTCGGGTACCCTTTCCTGTTGTGGTTCATACTATTCGCCATTATTGGTAATCTCTTCAGCCAACTGCATAAATCCTTTTCGATACCAGCTAGACGAGGCGAACGTAGTGTCGACAGCCAATGGAGAAGACGAGGACTACAACTTCTCCCTCGTTGATACAGTTTACTTTCCAGATGACTTCACGGCACTTAAAACCAACATGGATATATCGATGGTCAGGCTCAACATTCCCTTAAAAGGCAGCATGACCGAATTCATCAAGCTGGCCCCCGTATTGCCGGGCCTTGGCGAAACATATCTTACATTTGGATGGGGCTTCGACAGTCTGGAGGTGCAGCCACCTTCAGATGAGCCACGAAAGACAGACCTGACACTTACGGCGCTCGATACATGTAAAGCAAAATTTCAGAATGGATTTGTGTCGGACACTGTTCTGTGCGCGAAAATGCCCGAGGATAGTTTTGAGTGCATTTACGATGGTGGATCTCCGGTGGTCTGGAAAAACCAACTCGTTGGCGTCGCCTCGGTGGGATTTACATGTAGGAACACTTCGCTTCCTGGCATTTATACGAGCGTGATCAAGTTATCCACTTTCATAAAAAATATACGGAGAGCTGTCAGGTCTGGACAATTGGCGCGTCGCAAAAGAGAAATCCGTCAGCAGTGGGCAAGCCTAAAAGATCATTAAGCCCATAGGATACTAATTTCATTAAATTACCATCTTTACTAAAACAAATTTATTGAATTTAGAAATTGTAAGACTCAAACAATAAACAAGGAAAGTTAGCGGTTATCGGAAACAAACTCCTACTGTTCATGCACTAGAAGGACCTACATTGCATTCAAGCCTCTCAAGACGGCCAGACAGACGGACATAGCTAGATCGTCTTGGCTATTGATGCTGATGACGAATATATATACTTTATGGGGTTCAGAGATACCTTCTTCTCTGTGTTACAAACATTTGCACAAATTCATTGTACCCGTTTTACCAATTTTTAATGGGTTCATGGTGGGAAAATCCACATATTGTGTCCAACCAAATTAATGCGTATTTCTTAAATTAATAAAACATGTTTTAATAACTTAATACATCTTTTGTGTAAAATAACCAGACATGTAGCTGCAACATTATTAAAGCACCGCCCTATTTAAAATACTTCAAGTAAATCTCTTAATCTTTTAAAAATATAAATATATTTTTAGTTTTGCGAATAAGACTTCCAACTAAAAAATGAAACTAGTAATTGTGAACTTCTTAACCTAAACACAGACTATACATCGCCTCGGTCGCACGAATGGTAGCTATTAAAACCATTTTGTTTAAAACTTGTTTTTCCTTATACCCTGAACCCATTGAAAATGGGTAGAAAGGGTATAATGTGTGCGAATGTATGTAACAGGCAGAACAAGCATTTCCCACCCCATAAAGTATATATGTATATTCTTGATCAGCATCAATAACCGAGTCGATCTAGCCATGCCCGTCTGTCCGTCTGTCCGTAAGTTTGAACGCAAGGATATCAGAACCTATAAGAGCTAGAAACATGCAATTTCAGCTGTAGGTCCACTAAGAGCCTGCCCAGATCGAGTTTGTTTCCGATAATCGATAACTAATTCCGTTTCTATTTTATATTGCCCACCAATTTTAACCACAATTAGATGTACTGAAGAATATTTCTTTAAGATCGGTTAAGAAATACACAAAATAAAATGTGTGTTTGATGCCTACATATTTGCGGAAGCTAGAACAAATTCCAAGAATTTCTGAACACATTAGAACACACGCATACATGCACGTCTGCTTCGAATTCTGTCAACAGCATTGAAATTGAGATTTTTTTTCTGTGCTGCTATTTTGATTCGTTTTTTTTTTTTCTCAATAAGACTCAATTATTAGTGTGGGTGTTGAGTAGAGTCGGCGACAAGTAATAGATTTCTAAATAGTCGATAGCTGAGTCTACAGAGCAAAAAATTAAATTTTAATTCAGTGTAAGAGAATTTCTGGAAATGTAAAATTTAATAAATGAACTAACTGAATCGAATTAGCGGGGATAATCAGAATAACTTATACATGATTGACGG